TCGCTTCGCGGGGTGCACGTCCGGGGCGCGTACAGTCCAGTCGTTGCGGGGCCTCTTGGGAGCTTCTTTGTGGCCTCTTGGAGGTGTCTTGGGGCTTTTTGGGGCCGTTTCTGCACTGGGCTTCTTTGGGGCCTTTGGGACCTCTTGGGGGCGTTTTGGGCCGTCTTGGGGCGCTCTTGCGGCGTGTGGCCCATTCGGAGGCTGTTCTGGGGGCCTCTCGAGGACGGTCTGGGGCCTCTCGCGGCCGTAATCGCCGCTGTGGAAAAGTGTTCAAATGTGGAAGGTGTGGGCGTCGGTTGGCGTGACCTGCTCGGCTGCCGCGCGTGCGTGCCGCTCCGTCCTGCAATAATCCCCGCGGTTTCTGGGCGGCCTCATGGGGGGCTCTGGGAGCCTCTTGAAAGCCTCGTGGGGGCTTCTTGGAGCGTCTTTGGGGCCGCTTTGGGGCCTCTTGGGGCGCGCCGGCTTGGGGCGCTCTTGCGCCGTCTGGCCCTTTCGGAGGCCATCTTGGAGGCCTCTCGCGGCCGCCTTGGGGCTCTCTTGGAGTCCTCTTCGGCCGTCTTGGGGGTCCCTTGGACCGTCTTGGGGGCCTCTTTTGGCCGTCTCGGGCCCTCTTGAGCAATCCTGGGGCCCCTTTTGGGGCCTCGTTGGCCGTCTTGAGGTCTTCTTGGAGGCTGCTTGGGCCGTCTTGGTCTTCTGAGAGCCGAAAAAAAGGCGAGAACGCTAACATGTTCCAACAACCAAGAGAAAATCAATGATTTTGGCTCCTGGAGGCGCTCCTTCGAGTCCTCGTGGGGCCCCCTTGAGCCGTTTTGGGGGGCCTCACGGGCCTTCTTGGGACCATCCAGGGTTGTTTGGGGGCCGTTTTGGGGCCATCTTGGACCATCTTGCGGCCCTCTTCGAGTCCCAAGAGGCCCCAAAGAGCCCAATCGTAGATTTCCTATGGTTTTTAGTGGTTTCGAGAGCCCGAAAAGGGGGGCATCCATTTTGTGTCGGTGGAGTGGCGCGACTCCAAGGGGGTTACGGGGGATACGTAATAATGTAAAGCAATACAAGATGTGGCAAGTATACAACGATAGGATACACTGGATACGTTGCATTATCGCCTTCGCAGAAAACGCTGCCGCTCAGCATATCACTTCCGGACGTGAATTCTAGACGCTTCGCGTGATCTCCTCGGGTCGCAGCTTGGGTTTCTGAGTTGCTTCCGCGGCCTCTTTCGTGGTGCCCACGCGCCATTTTGGCCGCGCTGCAGCCCCTGCTGCTCTTTCGCACTCGTGCGTTCCGCTGCTGTTGGACCTCCTGGCCTCGGCCACCCTGGTACTCCGCTGCTTGCTGATGCTCATGCCCTGAATGGGCACACAATTCGACCAACGGCAGTCGGTTCACTTGGCTGCGGCCACCCTGGTACTTCCGTAGTCCTACGGGGGCCTACGCCCTTTCATTTAATGCCCACGCATCCTGCAGTCCCTGGCCTCCGGTCACCCTGGCCGCCAGCTGCTTTCGACGCGTTTCATGCGTGCACCCTGGCAGTACTGCTCCCCAGTTTGCTATCAGCCCTTCCCACTCGCCGGCCCGGCCGCTGAGGTGCTGCGTGAGGTTCCAGCCCACCGCGTTAGGTTAATTCGTCTTTGCGCGCCCCGCTCTGACTAGACTCGCCGCTGGCGCGCTCGCCTGCGGCCGCTGACTAAAAAGTATCCCCACCAGCCCATCCAGAAACGACGCCCAGGCGAGTAGAAGGTCGTCCTGAAGGTTTTTTCGGCGGCTTGGGTGCCTCGGGGGGGCCTCTTTGGGCCGCTTGGGATCCTCTTGGGGGCCTCCTGGCGGCCTCTTGGGGCCTCTTGGGGCCATCTTGGGGCCTCTTGGGGCCTCCTGGGCGCTTTTTGGGGCCACCTTGGAGGACATCGATCAAAGAAGAAAGGAGCTTCAATTAGGGTTGCCCCCTCAGGAGCCAAAATGGGGCCAAAACCTTATCAAATCAATGATTGTGGTTTCCTCGCCGAGGCCGTCGTGGACGCTCTGACCGTTCGCGGCCCCCCCCGTCCAGGTCCACGGGGACGCCCAGAGGGCTGGTGGGATACAAGAGGCTTACGCCAATCCGCCGACCCCTCACAACAGTGAATTTCTCAAGAGTCGTGCCACCCGTGCCTGGCTTGTGGGTCTGGAGCCTCGGGGATGCATGCTAGGGTCTCCTGTAATGCCTCTCAGGAGACTCTTGGAGGGCTCTTGCTTTTGGGCGCCATGGGGGTCAATGGGTGGCTCTTGGAGCCATCACGGCGGGATGGACTCGAGGTGCTAGTTCGGATTGCCTCTCTTGGGCCCCTCTTAAAGGCCTCATGGGCCGTCTTGGGACGATCTTGGGGGCTCCTTGGGCCGTGGCGGCGCTGTCAAGACGAAAAAGGCGTGCATGTAGAAACGGTCAGTCTGCCTGAGGGAACGGGGCAGCTTACGCCTCTTGGGGCCCTTTCGGCGGCCGTCTGTGAGCACTCTCGGGCAGTCTCAGAGGCCTCGTAGAACCGTCGCGGGGTTACCCTGGCCCTTCTCGACGCTCTCTTGGGTTGTCTCGGCGCTCATTGGGCCGTCTTGGGGCTCCTTGGAGACTCCAGAGAGCCCGTGGGGTGCGTTGACGAGCTCGTGCCCCTCCCCCGCTGCCCTCCCCCCTCTAATGCGGTGTTTGGCCCCAGGGGAGGGGGAAATGGGGAGGGGGATAGCCAATCATCTCTCACGCCTTCTCACCCCCAGCAAGCGGGGGTCGGCGGATTTGTGGGGCTATCTTGAAGTCTCTAGGGCAGGCTTCGGCTTCTGGAGACCCGAAGAAAGGCGAGAACGCGAACAGCGTTGACAGCCTGAAGGTAAGCAATGGTGTTGCCCTCTTATGGTCTTCCTGGGGAGCTCTTTGAGGCCGCTTGGGCCGTCTTGAGGCTGTCTTGGGCCCATCTTGGCCGTCTGGGCCGACTTGGGGCCATCTTGGGCCATCTTCGAGGTGTATGTTCGGCCGTCGTGGAGGCATCATGGGGCCATCTTGGGGTCATCGTTGTTGACGTGGAGGCTCTCTTGGGGCTCTCTTGGAATTTATTGGGCCGTCGTGGGGGTATCTCGAAGGCCCTTTGGGTTTTTCGAAAGCCCAATAAGACAAGAGCGCGCACACCGTTGAATGTCTAACAGCCCAGAAAAAATAGTGATGTTGTTTTCTTCGAGCCTTCATTGATGGCCTCTTGGAAAAGTGGCACTGGCCGGGGTTTGTCGCCAGGCGGGTGGGGGAGGTGGTGCATAGAGAAGTGATGAACACTAACCCGCCTACGCCCTAAATGGCCGGTGGGATTCAGTACGTGTTGGTGGAGGCTTTTGTTGTGGTCCTCTTGGGCCCCTCTTACGGCGTCTTTGGGGGCCGATTGGGCCGTCTGCAGGACGTCTTGGGCCGTCTGGGAGCGCTCTTGAACCGTACTGGGGCCTCTTGGATTCTTGGACTGTCCTGGGGAGGAAAAGTCGCGCGAGCGTCCCCCGAGAAATCCAGCAATGTGGGGCCTGCTCCAATGCTCGAATACTCGGCACAGGGGGCTCTAAGGGATATGCGCTCAATGTAAACGGCACGGTGGCAGGTACTCCCCGCTCGTGCCCAGCGAATCTGGCAACATCTGCCTAAAGTAGTGTCGCGCAGTATTCAATTGCCCGAATTGAGACGGGCTTCAGGGTTTGGGCCACAGTTGATTTCGGCACACTTCGATATTGTGAAGGCCTTAGGGCCGGTGCTGCCGACCCTGAAGGCGGGACCTGCCCCAGGACCTCCGCTGGCGCCCCTCCCACGGGACAATAATGGCATTTGCGATCGTCGAGGTTTGGGAGATTCATTCGGGTCCAGCTGTTGTTGGGATAACGCAGGAGAGGCGTGAGTAGGAGGCGGACGAGATGGAGACGAGGAGGGCGAATGAGGAAGCATAGAGAAGCAGCAGGGGGATGAGAGGGGAGTGCGGGAGGAGGTCGACCCTGAGGACAGCACAACCCCCCCCCTCTACCCCCGGCTAAGAATCCCATTCTCGACCTGGTATTCTTGGGGGTCCTGGCTTAGCTGGGGATGGGGGTGTTCTTGCGGGGCTCCCGGGGCCAACAGACCACCCTCAAACCCAGCCAGGGCCCTTGGATCACCAGGTCGGGAGTGGTGTGCTGGCAGAGGGTCGGGGTGGGTTCTGCTGTCCTCAGACACAGCGCGGGAGGGGATTGGCGAGCAATGCGAATAACTAGAGGAGAAGAAGGAAAGGGAAGGGGGTGATGTGGGGTGAGGGGAAGACGAGGGATCGGGGGAGGGGACGGAGGGCACGACAGGGGGCCAGTAGAGAGGAGGGGGAGGGGGCAGATGGGGTTAGGTGTGAGGCGATATGCAGCAAGCCATGTTCAGCATACATCCCGTTCGTCCCTTCTCACTGTGTTCAATATTCTTCTATCCGCTGAGTGCGGTGTCCTAGAATATGCAGATGGCAGTCGCAGGACTTCACCCACCGTGGGCTGTACAGTCAGCAACTCTTGTACACTGGAGACGGCGCAGTTGGAGGATGACCACCAGCAGCAGGGGTGGTCAACGGAGACGAGAGGAAGGGGACGGCAGCGACGAGGGAGGAATCGGATTCCGACATGTAGCCCCCACTGGGGCGAGACCGGCCTTGCGAACGACGGGAGCGACGCACCGATCTTGAGGCGTGGCCAGTGCTGCAGCAGGAACATTTTGAAGGGCCGAACACGTTCCAATTGACAAACACAGACAGCTGGACAACAATCTTCTGATCCTGTCTGTAGAAGAATGCGCGGGAGAAACGGACATTGAAGGGTGGAGAGGGGATCACAGCATTCATCATGCGTAATTCCAAGGTGATCCACTATATTTGGGAGGGGCGAAGAGCGAGGGAAAGGAGAGGGCAGGAGAAGAAGAGGGCAGCGAGGAAGGATACAAGGCGATGCGAGGGTATCCCGGCTGAAGTGGCCCGCGACCTCTGGACGCGCGCGCCCCCCAGGAGCAGCTGGCGGGGGCGGCGGAGAGTGGAGCGGCGGCGGGGGCGGCGGTGGCGGCTGGGGAGGTGGCAATTGCCTGTCTTCGCTTCGCCATCTCACCGCATCCCCCGCCTCTTCCCTCTCCCACCCCCTCCTCCCCATCCACCTCCCTTCCACTTCCCTTCTCCCCTCCACCTCCCTCCCTCCCCCTCCGCTCCCCCCGCCCAGCCCCCACTGGCTCGAAGAGGAGGACGAGGGGGGAGGGGGAATGAGGCAGAGCAGGATAGGGGCATGTTTGCGAGGTCGCCAGTGTGCTGCCTCCGACCTCTCCTGCTGCAGAAGTCACACGTAACAACGTTGATTGGTTTTCGGCTTAATGCGCGCATTGCATGCCCAGTCCCGCGGGCGACCAGTGTGGGTTTCCAGTTGACGCGGGGCAGCCTACTGTGCGTGTGCCGAAGGATCGCCTCTGCCGCTGCGGCCATATACCGCCGCGGCCATCGGCATGCCAGGTGGAGCGTCACATTCCACTGACTTGCGGATTCGGTGCTGACGATGTCGCCGACGAAGGCATCAAGGCATTGCCTTCATGCGCACACAGTGTGGGACGGGCTTGATAGAATCGCTTCGCGAAGTTCAGAAGCTCCTTAGGGAGCACGGACTGGTGCAACTGCAGGTGGTGGTGGCGTCCGTAGCCATTTTGGCTCAAGCCGCTTACAGCGGGCGAACCCCCTCGGCTCAAACCGGCATGGCATAGTTCTGGAGCTGCTGGTAGGTCGTTGCTGCAGGGAATGGCTCTACGGGAGGAGGCCCCTCGAGGTCCCTGGCGCTCTTTGCAGGGCGCCGCGCCGCGCAGCGGGTGGCGGCGGCATCAGCAGATCGAGCTGTGCGTCATCTTCAGCCGCAGTTGAAGATCGCGTTGAATGAACTGGATTCCGATCGGGCGGCGCTCGCGGCGGTGCAAGTGACAGCGGGAGGTGGAGAGCTCGAGGCCAGACTCAGGCTCATGGAGCCAGTGGTCGCCGCGGGCTTGGCGGACCACCCCGTCCCCGTGCTGATCGTGGCGCGGCGTAGCCTCGTTGCGCACGAGTTCGACGTGCCAGCCGAGGTTATCGACCGTGCAGGGCAGGCGGAATGCAATCGCCTTCAGCCGCGGCGGAGGAGGCGGCGTGCGCGCGGAGGTGCAGCTGCAAAACTTCAGGTGGAGTCCCCTGACTTCGTGCCTGGCGCATGCTGCCGGGTGGAACTCGGAGTGCACCCCCACGGAGCTTGTCGCGGGAAGTTGTGCACGCACAGGGCCACACTGTTTTCGGGCTGTGCGCCAATGCCGCAGCTGGAACAGAGTGCGCGGTATGTGCTTGAAAAGTATCCCGCGATCGGGGCAGCCCCCCCCGTTGCGGAAGGCTCTGTGGGGGTCATTGCGGAACGGGCCGCCGACGCGGTCATGGAGAGCGACCCAGACGCGAGGTTGGGGATGGTTCGGGCCCAACGTGACATTATATTTTTCTTATGGGATTTTTTGTCAGGGGCTTCTATACATTTCGTGCCGCGGAGTGTTGTTGCAGCGTGGGTTGCGTATTGCTTTGCAAGTTTCGTATGTGGTTTCCTGGTACACCGCGGGGTTATATAATGTGACGTCTTGGTACGCATATACCAGTCGTGCGTTGCAGAAGCACTTCGTGGGTCTTTGCACATTGGTTTCTTCAGTGCCATATTCCACGTCCGGAAGTAACATTGGAGTAGCGTCGGGCCCAACCTAATAGTTGATGTTCTCTTTTGGAGGGAGTTCTGACTTTATATATTCTCTTTCAATGTCATGCCTCGGATTGGCGTTGCTGCGTATGTGTGCGCTTTCCTTGACAACTGTTGATTGTGTTTTCCTGGTATACCCCAGAGTTCTTGAATGTGGCTTCCTGGCACTGAAGCATACATCGTTTGTGCGTTGTTGCTTCATGTCGTCATTGTTCGCCAACTGTTCTCTTCATTGCGATGTTCCTCCAAGAGACCTGGCATCGACTTCGTCTGCTTCTGATGCGCCGCGCAAGGCGTGATTCAATGCGGGCCTATGGCCGGGGTGCCTCGGGCTGTAGTTGTTGTGTTGTGCTTTGTTTTTTTCGGGGCCCCTATGTCCCTGTCCTACCCTTCCTTTCGGTTTCCTTCTCCCAGGCGCCCCGCAGCCCCCTTACATTGTTGTTCCCTACCTAGACTCTGCCCAGAAGGGTTCTTACTCTCTGGGCTTAAAGGGGCCAGGCAGTGGAAAGCGCCCCGGGCGGTTCCCCCAGTATCCGCCCCGCGGTTCCCCCAGTTACGTCCCCTTAGCTTAGCGTTGCTTATCTCATCTTATCTTATTTAGGCCATTTCATCTTAGCTTAGCTTAGCTTCATCTTAGCTCAGGTTTATCTTAGCTTAGCTTGCCTTTATCTTAGCTTCGTCGAGCTTTAGCATAGCAGCGCACAGCATAGCATAGCGTAGCATAGCGCAGCACAGCATATCATAGCATAGCCCAGCATAGCATAGCATAACGCAGCATAGCATAGCATATCATAGCGCAGCACAGCACAGCACAGCATCGCACAGCGCAATTAGCATGGGTGTAATTCCCGACCTAGCCTCTGCCTAGAGGGCTAGCTTAGCTTAGCATAGCATAGCGCAGCGCTGCATTAGCATAACATAGACAATCATATCATAGCATATCATATCATAGCGCACCATACCATATCATAACATATGATATCATATCATATCATATCATGGCGTAGCGCAGCTTAGCATATCATAGTTTAGCATAGCACAGCACAGCATGATATAGCATAGTTTAGCATATCATAACACATCATAGCGCAGCATAGCATAACATTTCATATCATAGCATAGCGCAGCATCGCATGGCACAGCATAGCATAGGATAGTATGGCATAGCAACTAATGCTTCGTTCCTAGGGGCTCCAACTTCTAGGTAGGGTCGCACTGGGGTAATTGCCGTTTCCAAGATCTCGTCGGTGCTTAGGTCACAAGTGTGCAAGCGCAACCAGGTGACAGCGGTCACGTTGTGCCGATCCCGACAGGATTGGTGGAACACGCCTTCAGATGTTTCAGCATGGATGGGCAAAGGGAGCGCGTTTTCGTCGGCAATTTCGAATCCATCGAGCTGTCTGCAGCTCGATTTCTGACCTAGGAGAGCACGTGCCCGCTCCCAAAGTGAATCTCTCGGTGAGCCTGTTCGGTCGGTGTCGCATGTCGCCGGCATCAGTAGCACTATAGTGGTTAAGGATGTGAGGCGATGGTGGATGACCGCTTGCGAGCCTTCCCCGCCGCGCGCTGGCCCCAAACAAGATGTGATTGAGCCCGCAGGGCGGGGACCGCGACGGCCCCCCCTTTGATAAACGAACCCGCACATGTCGCGACCATGGATGATGATGATGATGAGGAGGAGGATGGTGGTGGTGGTGGTGATGATGAGCATCATCATGTAACCGCATGATGAGTGTTTTGTTCTTTGGAATGCGGAGTGCCGCAACCACTGCGGCTCAAGCTGAATCTGTGCGGCTCCATGCAGGATCTGGGCCTTTTTCTCTCCGACGCTCTGCGGTGCGGAGTCCAGGCCCTCGGAGCCTCTGTGGCGGCGCGCACGGCGGCGCCCATCTGCGCGGCCTGCGCGCCGCAGTTGACCTGCCCCGCCATCCCCGCGTGCGTCTGCGCGGGCGCAGGCGGCCAGATGCCGGAGCCCTCCTTCGGGCTCGTGGGCGCCTGCTCGGTCGCGAGCCTCCTCGCGGGTGCTGCGCTCGGCACCGCCTCGGGGTTCGCGCTGGCCCATCGCAGCGCAGTCGTGGGCCAGGCTGTCTAGCCCGAGCCGACCTTCGAGGAGACCGCGCGGGTACAGGCCAACGCGATCCGCGACAAACTCGCCGACAGCAGGTAGCCATGCCGCATGCGTTTGCCCTGTCGTTGGTGCGATATCGGGTCGGCGGAGCCCAGGTCTGGCATGGGCTGGTCTCGCTGCTGGCAGATGGCGCTGGCAATCACTTCGTGCTGACACCCGACGGGGACCGCTACCTCGAGAGCGCGGTGCCTGATGCAGATATCCTTGGGGTGATGGTTTTGCAGGGCTGGGGCGACCGTCCTGGCGGCCCCCGGGTCTACGGTTTCCGCTCCCTGCCGACGGCTCAGCAGGTGCGGGTCGGCATTTTCGAGGGGGCCGCAGCGCTTGGCGTCGCCGTGCCGCTTGGCCCCGCGAGCCTCCCGTTGGTTGCTGGAAGCGTTGGAGGTCTCGCCCCTGGGCCGTTCGCGCTGGCCGATCTTCCCCTGCGGTGGTGGCGGCGCTTGCTGTTGGGCCCTTGGCGCCGCCCGCAGCCCCCGCGCCCGCCGCTGGCCTGCTGCCGCCCGCGGCCGCGCCTGGTGGAGTCGCTCTTCCAGGTCGGCGGGGGCCGCTCCTGCTGCCGCCGCGGCGCCGCCCGCCGCCTTGGGCCCTCCGCCTGGGGGGGTGCCTGCCGTCGCCGCGGCTGGCGCGCTTCCGGGCCCCCGCCTCTGCCGGCTGCGGCGGGCGCCGCAGGCGTCGTCCCTGGGGCTGGAGCTGCTGCTGGTGGGGCTGCTGCTGCTGCTGCTGCTGCTGCTGCTGCTGCTGCTGCTGCTGGCGGGGTCGCTGACCTGCGCGCGAACGCCGTGGGCTACGACGCACGGGGCGACCGTTGGCGTGATTTCCGCGAGGGCATCATGCTGCACACCTCGACGGCGTGGACCGACTGGCCCGCGCGAGGCCCTCGGACGGCGGCCTGGGTTCGCGCTCGCATCCAGCGCCACGCCTCGTCTCCAGCAGCCTGGCACACTAAGTGGATGACTGAGTGGAAGATGTCGGAGGACGATCCGATCACTGGGGAGCACGCCTTGCTCTGTAGGATCCTGGAGCTCGGGGTATGCTGCGACCAAGTGAGCGTCGGTGAGCTCGCGCACCTGGAGACGACGGCGAGGCGCCTCCTGCTGCTGGAGGAGAAGGTGGACAAGACAGCCTGCAAGCCGAAGGGCGGCAACAAGAAGGACAAGGATAAGTCTCACGCGCTGGGCGACCGCGTCGAAAACAACGTGCTCTTGGGCGCCCATGAGGGCCGCGGGAACGCGTGCGCGCGCCCGCTGCTGGACACATGGGTCGCGGATGAGTTGATTGCGGAGGCTGCGATGCGGTCGCCGTGGGGCGCAGGAAGGTCCGCGAGGAGCGGGCGTTGCGCCAAAAGCGATCGGCTTCCCTCGCCTCAGCGGCGGCCCGCTCCTTGCTTGAGCCCGCCGGGGTGCGCTTGGGCACCGAGCTGCATTGCTTCGCGACGTCGGCTGCCCCTGGCGATCGGCAGCGCAACCTTTCCTCTTCCTCGTCTTGCTGTCGACGATTGGTGGGGTCCTTTTCGGTCTCGGCTTTGCCGACAGCTTTGCGATCGCGGTCTTGCCTGGCGGGCCTGGGCCAACGAGTGCATGGGCCCTTCGATGAGATGAACGGCCAGGCCCGATCTGCTCGCGAGGTGGCGGCACCAGTTGACGCATGCAACCTACCTCGGAGTCTCGCTCTTGGTCACTTGTCGATGAATTCGAGAACTCCGATTGGCCTTCCGACCCTCGAGTTAGCGACGCCACCTCGGATGTCGCCCTCGCAGAGCTGCTCCGCAATGCACTTGGGCATCGTGCAGATGATACCACAGTTCGACCGTGCGCCGAGGACCGCGCGGCCTGGCCCGCTGCGGGCGCGACGCCGACGCCGCTGTATCCCATCTGCAGCGAGGCCGCCCTTGACGGGCTGGGGTCATGGAGGACGAGAATGTTAGTCCCCGAGTCGACCGCCGTCGTTGGGCGCCGAGAGTCTGGACTCGTCAAGCCTTGCGTCGACCCTGTTCTTTTGAGCTGCCCCGACCATTACGCCGACTTTATTCGTCGACTTGATGGGGCGGGTACACTGCGTCTCCGTGTCCGTCGCGGTCGGGGGCAGCCCACGGTCAGGGTGGTTTGCGTGGCCGAGAAGGACGGGGGCCCCAGGATGGCGTTCGACACCCGCATTGCCCATGTGTCCTTCTCGGATCCAGCCAGCGCGAAGTTGCCGACGAGTGCTGCGTGGCCTGGGGTGAAGATCGCCCCCTATGCCATCGGCAATATAGAGTCGGCAGATATTCAGTGTGCTTTTATCGCATGAGCATTCCATCGGGGTTCGCTCAGTTCTTTGCGCCCCCGTGCATCGCGAATTGGGTCCTGCGCCGCGACGGGGTTGCACTCGACGCGGATCTGGCCCCCCCGAGATTTTGGCGATGCCGATGGGCTGGAACTGGGCGCCCCACGTCTGTCATGAAGGCCTGGTCAACGCCGTCGCGAGGGACGCTGGCGCAGAGGCGGGTCGCTTCGTCGCAGACGGGGCTCCGTCCTTTGCGCTGCTGTCCCCGACGTCATGGGCGGCGGCCGCCTACTCGGGCAACTTCTGCCTCGCTGCTGGCTCGAAGGGGCCCGCGAACTCGAAGCTGCAGCGCATATCGGCAGCTGTCGCCTCACATTGGTTGCCAGCGCACGAGGTTCAGGAGGCCCGCGCTTCTATGGTCTTTACGGGTGTCGGTTTCGATGGTGCACAAGGAAGCATGATCGCGGTTTGTGCTCGCGTCGCTCGTC